GAATCTGATCTACCTGGAAAGACAAATTACAGATAAACTTTTAGTGCTTTGAGCAAAAGGACTGTTTTTTATCATAGAAACAGATAGCAACATCAATTTCCCAAGAAAAAAATAGACATTTCAGCTGTGCATCTCTAGAGCAAAAAATCAGTGTTGTAAAAACCCATGGCAATAAGTTTGCTTCGAAAGCTTTAGTTATGACTTCACCATTTACCAGGTATTGCTTTATGCTTTCCTACTGCATCCTAACTTGGAATATTAAGCCAATCAAGAAATTTAAAATAGCAGTAAACTAAGCAGCAAGAGACATGAGTATGAACCTGTTCCTGTAACATATGATGTACACACGCTACTGGAGCCCGCTGAAGTCAATAGAATATATCCACTGGTGTCAATACACTTTCAGACAGACTTTTCTGGAAGCAGAACTGGAACTTCATGTTAGAAGCAGGGTTGTGTGGCCAAGTTCAGATCTGTATCTGTGCTTTTTTTTTTTTTTTTTCCTGAAGTTTGTGTGTGGCTGAGTACAAAGTTAAGGTTTCTTCTCTAGCTGCCTCTCGGATCTTACCCAAAGCCTGTCAGAGAAGGGATTTCAGTGGTCTTTGAATCAGGGCATCCTAAGGCTCCGCTGTTGCAAACGTGCCTCTGGCCAGGCAGGAGTGCCATCGGGAAGGGGGTGACGGGTGGAGATTTAGCACAGAATCACTCTCACTGCTCAGTGCCAGCACCACCGGTTTCATGCATCCCTTGCCCCTGGACTACCCACGCAGGAGCATGTCTTGCTTATGAATTACAGCCCAACTCACAGCACGCTAATTAACATCCGAATAGTGGTATCTTTGATGGCGCAGAACAATTTATATCTTGCTATAAACTATTTTAATATGCTGAACCACAGAGCTTGGCGTTAGGGCGGGATGAAGGATTGTGCAGAAGAGATATAATTAATAGTTGCTGGAATGTCCTTTCTGGTCTTTGCTCTCTGTGGTGTGTTATTTGCTAGAGACTAAAACTGAGCTAGTAACAAGATGTCATGGGACAAAAACCTTCTGGATCAAGTGAAAATATTACATTGTTAAAATCAAAATGGGTCCCTTTTGAGGTCAGAGAGGAATGCGAGTTTCACAATTTCTTTTTTTTAACAATCAGCAGACAGCCAGCTAAATCATACTCATAAAATACCACTCCAGTTTGGATCTGCCACAAAAATGAAGCATTTAATTGCTGCTAGAAGTGACAAAGATAAGCTATTCTCATTCCCATACCAAGGGCAGGGGCATCTGTCAAAAAAGACAGATTTTCTTTTGTGGTTTTCAATGTGCTACAAGGGTGAATTTAATTACAGGTAAAAAAAACCCCACAAAACAAAGCAAGTGACATGACAAAGTAAAAGTGTAAATTATAATTAAGAACCCAAACTCCTCCAAATCCAGGATGAAAAGCAGGTAGTAGAAACTTGATTTAAGAGAAATTATTTCCCACCAGGTTCCCTCCCATGTACATATTCAGTTTTACTTCCATATGGAGTCTGTAAAAAAGAAAAAAAAAAGTATAATGGTTCACAAAGCTCTATTGTGACCTTTTAAAATAAAACAACCATGCACTGCTACACTTCTGGAAAGGCCACTATTGGGAAAAAAATAGAATTACGAAACTCTCCCCTATCAGTCATGTTATGAAGTGTCTGCTGGGGGCTGACATCTTCTTGGGCAAACACAGAGCAGACACATCAGGGCAGCACACCTGGCTGCTCCTGCTGGTTAGGACAAAAAGAATCGTACAGCGAGGTTCATGTCCGCATGGGTGTGGGCATGCTTGTGGGACAGAGGAAGCATTTCCCAAAGAATAAGTGCTCACTGCCCCTTGCCCCTATAAGCTAATAGAAGTTAGTTGTCTCACAGCCATCAGTGCCTTTGGAAAAGTTCCCTCTAATTCTTCGTCCCAGACACATTGCCCTGAAAGTGTCCTGCGCTCTGTCTACACAAATTAGTCAGTCTCTACATTCTTGTTCTCTACAGGACCTCTGGTGTTGGCTGCAGCAAAACCTTTCTAATATTTCATCCCTGGTTATGGCTTTCAGCTTTTTAGGGAGGCTGCACTTAGATAAGACACCAACTCAAAACCACATACTCTGAGAGAAGGATTCATTTTACCACTTACATTCAGCTGGCACCATGCTGCTGACTTTTTTTTCAGAGTAAAGGAATAGCCATCTTTGTTTGCATAATAGCTGTTTATATTTTCTTTTTCCTTTATGATGTTTATTTAAGATAGCTTAATGGTTTTATTTTCCTCAGATACACTTGCCTGGAATTAGTTACTTCATTTCCATTGAAAGTAAGATTAGGAAGGTACATAATTAAAAAAGGGACTAATTCTGTCATCTTTACCCTGGCAAAATTCCCATGGACTTTGATTACTTGCTAGGAATTTTGCCTGAAAAAGGATCGTATAATCAAGAACTACATTGCTGCAGATTATATTAAGGCCAAACGAACACGTACAGAACTCCTGCACACAGAGTCCAAAAATGAAGTGCAAGACACTCTAAGGTTTTAACACTTCTGAGATTTAATGTTCATCATTGCTCCCACTCCAGTCCAGGTGAAAATATTGGGCTGAATAAAAGTTATTCTTTTCTTGATATCCTGAGCTGTATCTCTTTTTAGTTTTCAGTTTCTACTATGAATTTAAGGACCTAAAAATAGCAAGAAAAATATGTAATAACCTAAGAATACAGGAGAAGCCCCACTGAGCTTAATATTTAGTCCCTAACACAAGGGAAGAATATGAACCAGAGCAAAAATGCTAGTGGTACTTGCTGCTGAGGTGTCTCTCATTCTGGAATTTGGTGGCTTAGGACACCTTGATCCGGAGGCTGACTGTGAATTCCTGTATGCTTCCCCTTCGAGGCAAAGATTTGCCACCAAGGGCAATGGCAGCCCAGGGCAGAGGTGCCGTGGGATGTCCCCCTGCCTGCCTGCAGCACCCGTTCCACCAGCACCAGGCAGAGGGTCACCCTGCCACCTCCTCACCCTCACCTTCTCCAGGGAATCACACACAGAAGACACCATTTACATCATCTCATTTATGTATTTTGGGTCATTTTTTAGAATGAATCTAAGCTCAAATGTAGATATTTTGGCAGCCAGCTTGAAATGTCTAGAATTTAATTTTCAGAGGTGTCCTTCTCCCTAGCATAAGCTGGGGTCCATGGGAGACACGAGGCTGTGACATCTCTTCAAAGAAAACAGCCCCTAAGCTTCTGAATTTGAACATTATATTCAGAGAAACATGCAATTGGTGCATCTCCCTGAAATTCCTGGAATTTGTTGTCGAATCCAGCTAAAACTGGGCATTTCTAGGAGCTTCTATGTGAAAATTTCCCTGGAAGCATGTCTAAAAATTGTTGGGAGATATTTTAACTGTAATCCATGGGGAGCTATTGATGGTAATAAAAAATACTGTGAGAAGAAAACAGCAGCAAGTGAAACTGCCCTCTCAGAAAGGCCAGGTCTGCTTTGAAGGAAGTGTTGATATTCACCATAAGCCTCCATCATTTCCCAGAGGGCTGTACGGTGCCTTGTAATGACATAATCAAAAAGTAATGGTGTTCTGGACCTAAAGGGGGGGGAAAAAAAAAAAAAAAAGGAGGGCCTGATCCATCTCCCATTGAAATCAAAGAGGATTTTGCTATCTACTTCAGTGAGAACAGAGTTCTGGACACAATCTGTGTGCATTTTATTCACACATTTGCTTATCCAAATGATCCTGACTTTAACCAATAACATGTCTAGATGTCTGTCTGGGAGTACGTCTGTACCAATGCCTAAGTGTGAGTTTATAATGTGGAGGGCCTGATCCATCTCCCATTGAAATCAAAGAGGATTTTGCTATCTACTTCAGTGAGAACAGAGTTCTGGACACAATCTGTGTGCATTTTATTCACACATTTGCTTATCCAAATGATCCTGACTTTAACCAATAACATGTCTAGATGTCTGTCTGGGAGTACGTCTGTACCAATGCCTAAGTGTGAGTTTATAATGTGGTTTAATTCCAATTATTCTGGCATTTCAAAAGCATTTCTAGCTACAAAGGACAGCTTTAGCTGATTTCCACCCCAGAATATAGACTTTAATTGGTAAGTTTGTAACTCACATTTCAGGCCGCAATTCACAATCAATTTCATGCAGATTTTGCATTTGTGGAGTTAATTTTAAAGTGATCTTGCCATGCACTCAATTAAAAATTTGCAGCCGTTATTTCGAAACGCGAAAAGCCCTACAAATTACCCCAACTCATCAGCTGTGGTCTTTGGTTTACTTGAAGGGAAATTTCTTTGATGACCACAAGAAAATTGCAGTGAACGGCAAGCAAGATTGCCATCACAAGCCTGCCGAACAGGCAGGATGAACTCCTGATTGCTTTAGTCATGTGAACAACCCCTTCAGAACAGCCCGAAGTCAGGCAAGGTGGCTTACACCAGGAGTTAATTTAGGCTGCTGAGACTCCTTGTGTTACTAAAATGAGCGTGATTTGGGCTTGTAAATGGGGGGTAGAATTTTATTTCACTTTCTGAGGGCCACGCATCTATTTTAGAGTAAGCCTTTCAGAATAAAAGTTCGCTTCACGTTATAGGAAACGACATTGCTTTTTTTTTAGATTTCTCATTTCAAAGCATGCCTCAGATTTCTAACTTGTAGCAGAGCTTTTGTCTAAGTAATAAAAGTCTTTAAAATTAAAATGCTAATCATAAACAAACCCAAATGCATGAAAGATATAGTTTGACTGCATAACAAAAGAGAATTATATAATTCTATTTGAGTGAAATCTTTCATCTTTGATTTACAGGTTTGAGTCTGCCTATAACTGAAACCATATTGCTCCATATCTTTCATATCATGGCCTTCCCCCGAATCTTGTTTTAATTAAGGTTCCTTTCAGATTTCAGAATAAAAAGCATGACAGTCTTCACTTATGGCTTTAATATATCTTTCGAGTTTGGAAAATATATAAAAATGAACATCACTTGCTTTTAAAAGCCGAGCGAGCTATCAAATACTGCAAGTTGAGTACTTCAAGGTATCTCCCAGGGTTCATTAGGTGAGAAAGTTGTAAACAAAATAAAAGTTGCTGTAGCAGAGTTTTGTTCATTTGAAGTAGTCTTACATACATGCCCTATCTCTTTCTCTGACGGTAAGGCAACACGTGTAACAGTTTAAGCGTTCATTATCAGCTAAAGGCACAACTCTATGTTACGTTCTCAAACATGGAATTAAACAGCTAAAGTCACATTGCAGGGAGATCTTGCTGCACTTTGGGGATCTAAAATAAAGCCTAAACCCTTTGAAGCCTCTTAAGCAACATCAGTTCTCTTGGTGCAGGACTACATAAAAGAATCAGTTCGTATTTACATGACGACCTGTAAAAAACACCCCTAACACAAACCTCCACAGAAACACCTGAGCTTCAAATGAGCTGCACGCAGTTGCTGAAGATCGCTGCTCTTAGAGTCAGGACGCAGAAACGTTTCAGAACAAACTAAAAACACATTTGAAAAACCATCCATTTTTTGTCGGAGACTACTTGATCTCTGCTGCACATGTGGCGAGAGAGCTACTGTCAACTACGGAGGGTAAAGCACTTTTTTTTTTTAAAGGCAGATCGCTCATTTTAGAGAACCATGAATGTGTTTTTATGATAGAAAAGATTACATGAAATGGGAAGGGATGGCCAGGAAAAGGGAAAAGAAAATAAAACACCACCAAGCACAGTACTTCAGGGGACTTATAGTACAATAGAAGTACTTTCCCTTTAGCTAAAATCCCTCATCATAATGTACACACCTTTCACCTATTCAGCTAAGAACTCATTACAGGGGGTTAAAAAATGGCACATAAAACAAAGATAGGGGTTTTTTTTCATTACACAGAGCAAAGAAAACAAATTCTATTAACAATTTAACACGGTAAGAAAAAAAATTACCCAGTAAAAAGTGTCAGAAAGTGATTCATGGAGTTTACCGAGTATTTTACTGGCTGTCGCAATTCTCATATCTAAAATCTATCACGTAGAATTTTGCAATACTCGATTTCACAATTTACGTTGGTGAGTGGGTCTAACAGCATATAAAAAGCATGCTTTAGGCTCTTTCTCCCAAGCCCGTTTTACTGTAACTCTAGAATTGTAGCGGTTACATTTAAGGAATCTGTAGGGCCCTTTCAAGTCCATCCAAAGAACAAGTGAAGCTGCTATTCAGAGTTTTGTGCCCAGTGTTTATGCTCCATCTGATCCGTGCCACCCAAGCAGCAGACAAGACATGTCTGAGGGTGCTTTGGGGGGATACACAATGATGTCACCCACAGGAAATATCAGGGAGGACTTGGCACTTCACAAGGCTGGCTCTTCTTCCATGGGCTCGCCAGCAGCTCTGTAAAAATAAACAGGCAATCAGAATACGGCGCAAGAGTACACAATGACATTGTAGATTTTCATGCATAATCAAAGCTGATTTTTCAGCTCTCTCTGATGTTTATTTGTGTTATTCAGTTATCCATAAATAGAGTTTCTTTCCTAGGAAGTATAAACAAATGTCAAGTGGAAAAACATTTTAGATCCAAGCAATCACTGAAAATGTTCCTGTTTATATTAAAATATGTCAGAATATTTTATAACTTTTTGTCCAGAAACGTACATGCTTTGTGTCAACAGAGTCAAATAATTTTGTGAAAAAAATAGCTGTGATACTTTTATTTTACAGGCTTTTGCAACTAAAATAAAATGCGCTTTTTTTTTGCTTTTTCTCTTCCCTTCAAGTAGGTCCATACTGTTAAAGTAAAATACCTCACTAGTAACCAAGTATTTTTCAGTGTTTTGTCTGAGGTTCTTCTTCAGTCCTCTGATTTTTGACTCTGTGCTTTCATAAATGCATTACCTGGCTTTTATTTGAAAGCCTCTGGGAAATATTCAGCCTAGGCAAGATGAGCTCTTTAAAACAATCCATAAGAAAGCAACGGGAACATGTGCTGAGCTGGTGTAAAGTGTGATAATTCCTTGTATCTGACAAGGTACTGCACCTGAGGATTTTGCCGATGATTATAAAATGGCAAGTTTCTGAGGTCGCAGTGAGACCTCATTATTGAGGGGCATAAGAATTTGGACACAAAGCATTTTTCACGTCAGTCTGACAGAACACCGTATGAAAAATGGGCTTAAGACTTCCTTAAAAATAGTCGCTCCAAGTAATTTTGAAATGAAGGAAAAGTAAAAAGTTAATTCAAATTAATAAATAAGAGAGACATTTACCCGTTAAACCTTGTAAGCCAGTATAATAACTGGCTTCAGTAAAACATCCCTCAGAAATTACAAACTCATGAAATCCCATGGAAAAGAAAAAGTAATTAATGGAGGCTTGCATGGGCTTTTGTAGTTTATTCAGCAAGAAAGCCAGAGAATTTTAAATGAATCTGGAGCTTATTAAATTCTTTCCCAATGAAAAATTCAGCAGTGTCTCTTTAAATGGTTTTATACAGGTTATTCCTTTATGATTTGGAATGATCACAACTAGTATGTTGAAAAATATGTCACATGAAGGACAGATGAAAAAGAAGATGTTTTGCAGACCAATCACTTTGCAAGGGGTTATATTGACCCTAAAAGATTATTAATATGCAAACCTTGAATCTTTTGTTCCTCACCACATGGTGGAGAATGTTCCTTTAGTACAATAACCACTGCAGCTCCCTTGTTCCTAAGAGGTAAGATGAAGCCCTCTTGCATTCCTTTATTTTCCCCCTTTCTTGCACTGTTCTGCCTTGTGGCAGAGACCCCACAGTGGCAGCCCAGGTGGGATGGAGCCCAGCCTGCTGCTGAAGTCCTCAGGTGTGAGAAGGGACCACATACCATGTGGAGAATTCCTACTACCGGTGTCTGTTGTACTGACCACACGCTTCCACTTTCTCCAGACGCTTTTGGAAGACCTGCCATGTCCTCTCGCATAATGCAAAAGTGGAATAAACCCTTGTTGAATATCCAGGACCTTTATAGGTCTATCTGGAAAGAAGGTGATCTGGAAGCTGATGCCAATTCAGATTTTAGGTTCTGCTGTGAGCAAGTGAATGAGAAGAAAATGCTGTCAATGGATTTCAATTGGAAATTGGCAGAGCAGGAAGGAGCGGAGCTCTGGAAAACCTCTGGGAATGAAAGTGGAGGGTTTGGGTTATTTATAAAGATCTAGGGAAGCAGTACATGCAACAGTCTGTTCACATGCATTTGGCTTCTACGACTGACATTCTCATGACCATACACAAGTGAGAGAGGATCTTTTTCAGGCTTTTAGTCCTGAGCTTTTTCTGCTGATGAGGATGCATCTGAGAGCCAGAACTGACCTTGAGTGCTATATTCTGTTATATTATGATATATTCTAACAGTATGCCAATATTTTGTATCAGCCAGAGCCTAGGTGCCAATAGAAATTTTTATATGCAAATGTCAGATGCAAGGTCCTGGAAAAGCATAGGAGGTTAGGGTGCCCTGGGGAATCTCAGTGTGGGTACTCTCACAGCCTTCTCCAGCCACCTTTGGAGGACTTATGCATAAGCTTTAACTTCATTTTGTTAGTGTCAGAGAAGTCACCGGATCTACCCAATGGCTTATCATTAAAAACATACATTTTCATGGGATAACAGCTTAGGCTAGAGTTTTGTGTGAGAGCCAGTAAAGTTTTAGGGCCCTTAGTACACAGAGAAAAACACTGTAGTCCCATAACACTGAGTGGTGAACCAAAGTATACCTGTTCTGCCAGAATCAAAAGTTCTTATATTGACGGGGGGGGCAGAATCTGACAGGGCAAATTTATGTTACCTCAGTTATGTCACTGTTAGTTAGATCAGTTCAGTTCAGTCTTCCTGTAGCTGACAAGAAGTTGGCGTAAAAACATAAAACAGGCAAAAGAAAAAAACCCCATCTCTTACTGTGTGCTCGGACTGGTTCCTTGGAGGGGCAGCTGTGAGCTTGGACAGATACCACTCGGCCAGAAAGACACTGATTGGGACTGTAATGACTGTAGAAACACAACTGTGATTTTTTTCATTAAGGCTTCACTGTGGCTCATTTAAACTGCAAGTTCCTAGGAGCAGAGCCCTCTTTCATTCTCTCACTTTGTGTTGGTGTGCAGAAAAGAGGGCTCACCTACAGCTCTCCGTAAGTGCAATTCACGCTATGGCAGAATGAAGCAGCCTCTTTGCAGTTAACGCTGAACAAAATGATTCTGTTTAAACCTTGAAACAAAAGAAATAGATGGGGCAAAAATCCTACCATATGGATAAAATCTGGCAAAACGTGTGACGTCTTAAGTATCGTTCTGTGGCAGTTGAGAGTAAATGGCAACCATATTATTTATGAGAATATTGTTTCAAATAGTCCGTATCTACACTTTAAAAATAAGTTAATATTTTAAAATATAGATAAATCCTGTACATCATCCAAAAAAGTAAATGTTTCTCTTACCGTATTTTTTAAATTAAGAATTACAGAGATTCCTCACAGTTACATCATCACATACATAAAAATAAAAATTCAAGGTATGTTTCCAAGTCACAGAAACTGCTGAACAAAAGATAGATTTTCTGGCATGGTATGGCTGTTTTATGCCATAATCTGTTCTTAATTTAACTCAGCTGTCTCAGGGAAGATCATTGTAATTGAAAAGTGATCCTCTGGTAGCAGAGAGCTGGGGAAAAAGAGGTACATTTCTATAACATGGAGATGATTCAGAAAGTATCTAAAGAAACCATGTAAGAGATCCTGAGTAAGTGTATATCCCAGTAAAAATGGGCTTTGTATGGATCAAAGAAAAAGGAACTAGAAGTAACAACCATCAGAGTTCAAGAGCAGAGCGAGGTAACTACACACATACTCTCTAAAGAGGAAGCAAAGTCCAAATAAGGCAAATTAAATAAACTATAAGGTTTGGTAAGTTAAATGTAAACCCTGAATGAGGCAGGCCAAAGGAGAGTCTGAAGAGCAACATGTTAAGGACATGAAAACTAATAACGGAAAGTCTTTCAAAGTACATCAGAAGAAATGATCAAAGCACAAAAAGAGCATCAAGGAAGGTAGACCGCAAAAGCCAAATGAACTATTTATATCTGCATTCACTAGAGAAGTGTCAGGGAGATTTTATTATTTGCAGATGAACTATCTTAAACTGAATCGGCACTAGAACACACTGGTACATCAAACCTTGCCAAACCGCTAAGAGCGGATGATATTTGTCCACTGAGTTCTAGGGGAAGGCAATTATGGTGTTGCTAAAGAAATAATTGTTGAGCATATTCTACGGCTTAACTCAGCATGCACGCAAAGAGGTAGAGAAGGTAAGAAATGCAGTTCCCCCTTTAGAAACTGAAGGAGATACAACAAGCCTGTATGGGGAAACTGAAAGCAGCTACAATCAGTGAGAGAATTATTAGGCACTTAGGTAATAGTAACTTGAGGAAGAGTTATGTCTTAACACTTACAGAGAAAGGAAGCATTACAAATTTATTAGAAGTTTCTGAAGGAAATGAAGGAAGAGGGATCAAGTGTTATCCCTGCGCAAAGAAAGTCTTCCAACAATTTTATCCAAATGTTTTGAGGAACATAGGTTATGAGAGAAGGTCCTCTCAGAGATTAATAATCCATCAAAATTAGGAAACAATAACAATATTGGTGAATTTTCACTGTGGAGAGATTCTCCAGAGCATCTCAAAAAGACATGGTGGACTACTAGTTGATCTAGGTGATAATATTTGTTGATGATGCCAAATTACTCAAACTAGTCAGTTCTAAAGCCCATAGCACCATTTGTGAGTGGAAAAGGTCTATAAAAACAAACACACAATACAAAAAACAGAGGGACGACAGCTTTAACTTTTCATACACAGTGATGGCTACAACTCAGAGCTTGGAGTTAATGGTAGACAAGAAGAGTGCAACAGAAACAAGAAAAAAATCCACATCATGAACCTACTCTGTAAATCCAATGTGCCCAACACCTGGAGTCCTGCATGCAGTTCTTATTCCAACTACAAAAGGCACAGAGAGGGGCAAGAATCATCAGAGGTAAGAAATTATTTTAATACTGGGAGGAATGCAGAATTTTGAGACAGTTGAAGCTATTAAAACCAGAAATGGGACAGAGACTATTAGTAAGAAAAGAACTGCTTTAATTTCTCACAATGCAAGAATTAGGGGTTCCCCACTCAATTTATTTTTTTTAATTAGAATCATAGAATCATACAATGTTAGGGGTTGGAATGAACCTCTAGAATTCATTGACTAATAAGTTTAGAGCAAAGAAAAAGAAGTGCAATGGCTGATGAGGCTGTGGGATTCACTACCTGTATGTCAAAGGTGTAAGCTGGTTCCAAAAAAGCTTTGAAAAGTTTACACCTGGATAGGTATCCTGGATGGGTCAGATACAGCTGTTGAGATCTACCAACACACCAGGGCAAGGCTGGCTCTCAAATTCCTCTGCTCCTGGTTTTCTTCCATACACACCCACCGCTGAGGGGATGAGAGGAAGGAGGGAAAGATAAGGCTGCTGCCTGACCTGGGGAAGCTGATCTTCAGCTCCTGAGCCTGGCTGTGACTGCAGATCCTGGGGCATATGGCCAGGTAGGCACAGGTTTCTCAGCACAGCTGAGGTGGATACCCAAATAGTGAAATGCTAAGTGAAGCTTTGTAAGTTGATGCATAAACACAGCAAGTGACCCTAGGTAGTGGCTAGCTGTACCCCATGATCCAACCAGTTGATTTAGGATATAATATAGTGTATTCAATACAATGAAATGTGACTAGAACAGCAACTGGTAGCTTTGTAACACTAAGAGTAACAAGAGAATTTTTTTTCTTTTTAAAAGTTAATTTAAATTACTAAGAGTAATTTAAAAATTACATTTTGTTTTCATTTCCATTGATTAAAAACTACACTCAGATGAGTGAGGGCCATAAAATCAATTTCTGATAACTGCCATTCTCATGATTTACTGTAAATGCAAGAGATCTCCCTCCATACTATTTTATTTTTTCCATTTTAAGAAGAAATATACAGAAGCTCCAAAGTATCAGAGACAGCACTGTACTGAATATTTTCATAGCACAGTTTCTGAAATGGACGTCTGGGCAAAGTAAAAGTCTAATCAGCTAGATCTGTATCTCACATAGGGAATAAACAGTTAACAACACACAAAAGCTGTGCTAGTTAGAAATGTCTTATAAGGCATGACTGTTCCTTTAATTGCATCTGTATTTAAATCTGTGTTAGCATCATGCATGTTTTCTTTCCTATCCACAAACTCTTTTTTTCTATATCTGTTCTCTTCTGAAGTCTATAATCAAGTTTCAATCGGATTTTAAAATGCAGAGTTGTGCTTTGGTAAAATAAAACACCAAAAGCGTAGCAGCTTTTCACGGTTTTCTTAATTTAGGCTGCCAGGGAAAATCAAATAAAAAGATAATCGGCACTGTCACTTGAAGAAAAGAAAGAAAAAGAGAAAAAATAAAGAGAAATACTTGAGATGGGCCTTAGCCAGGAGCATTTTATCCTTTCTTCATCAGTGGTAAATGAGTCAGATATGAGTTGGCCAGGAAAAGAGCTGCTTTACCCAAAATCTGTGTTTAAAGTGAGTCATCTCACTCCAAACACCAATATATCCTCCAACATAACTGGCAAATGTTTCCCGCAAGGAGACTCTTGCTGTCGCTCTCTTCATCTGGAGGCCTGGCCACCTAAAGCTGAAGTCAACAGGATCTCTACCCTCAGTTCAGTGAAACACTGTTAGAGATGCAGGCTAGAATTATCATCCTGGCTGACCATGGCAGGAATTAAGAGAAACTGAATTGGCTCCTGGCCCTGTCAGCCACGACGCTTTTTGTTCTGATCCCGCCCTACCTGTCACCACCAACTTTTCCAAACAAATGCTCAATGCAAAGGCTTGCAACAGGTCTTGAGAAGGTGTTCCCCATCTACAGTAAGAGGAGTGGCCCATCTGCATTGGCCTTTTCAAGAAGACTTGGGAGCCCAGATGAGTCCTCACGTCCCTGCAGCCCTGTTGTTAGTCATAGGAAGGGGGATGGAGAAGGAGCGTTGCATACTCGCTTCTCAGTTACAACAAAGATAAATAAGAAAAAGCAAAGTTGGACTCATAACTAAATTACTGCAGTTGGTGTTGGCATGTGCCTGTGAAATGAACGGCATGTTTCGGTGAAATTATACCAGCGTGAAACCAGAGGGTGCAATGCCAGACCAGTCCCTGGATTTATGATCCTGCGCTGGACTTCCACTCATGCTCAAAATACAGCCAGGTCCTCTCAGGTCTCTCTGCAGCTCAGAGAACCCTTAAAATCAGACCTGTGGGGTGACCATTTCGGATTCCATGTTCCTCTTTACACTCAGTAGGAAGAAATCAAAGAGAAGGATGTCCTTAAGACTCAGAAAACCTAACTATCAATTTTGTCCTAGTGGGACAGCACTTGTGTTGTCCTGCCACTCTCTGATGGCCATCTGGCATCCTGTGACTTCTTTGTGGGTTACGAATGTGGAAAGAGGCTTAGGAACACATATGTGCATAGGGTTTTTGTTTGTTTTGTGTTTTTTTTTCTGCTGAAAAATCTCTGCAGCACCACAGAAGATATTTCAAATGAAGCCATTTTTCCATAGAACAATTTATCACGACGGATTCATCCTTATAAGAGTCCAGAACTGATGAAGTGCAATGAATCTGGCAGCCATATGACTTCCACTTGTGTACATTTCAGCACATCCTTTTTTTTTTTTTTTCCATTTCTCTCAGCTTTGCCCTGAAGTTCTGTTTTCAGAATGGGTGGAAACTGTCACAGGTTATCATTGAGTAGGTAATAAATACAATAATTAGGTGCAGTGTTAGTCAAAGGGTTATTTTGTTCAAATCATGTAGGGTCAGCAGTTGCTCTCAATGGTGGTAGTTTTAAGTAAGTGGAGGCACATAAAAAATACAATTCTTGGTTATTCTAAGCAATGTAAAAACACATAAAATTAACTACAACCTTTTTCAGACAATTTAAAGCTTTGCTTTGTTTGACTGCATTTGTTCCAACACTTTAACTAAAATTCTTCATATTTCAGAACTATGCACACACAAGCAGACACCTTTCTGAACCCGGCTAGCAGAAGGGTCTCGTAACTGCCACAAATTTATGCAGCAAACCTTACATTATTTCTTAGCTGAGCACTGATTAGCACTCTCACAAATCTAAAATATGTCTCTCGCTTGTCAGAGATTCTTCCCCAAGCTTTTGCGGGTTTGTTTGCAATAATACTAGCACAACAATATCTGCAACATCTTAAAATGTAATTGCAGTCAAGAAGGTAATTATGTAAATGCCGTGAACACTAGCTAGCTCTGCTCCCTGTGTGTCCCTCTGAGCCACATCTGTTAACTCAGCGACAGACGAACGCTCCCACTGTTGTTAGAGACCTTCACTCCCAAATGCACCCATAGCTTTTAGCGCTGCTCTGTCCCTCTGGGTGCCCATCAGTTCAGTTCTGACTGAAGAGCCAATGCGGGAGGCAAGACCAGAATCACACGAGTAGCTGTCACGACGTAGGAGCCGTGTATCCTTCTGGCTCCCCTCCCACCACCGCTTTGCCTGCCCACAGCTCCCTCCTTTCTCTCCTGTTGTTACCCAGTTCTGCTCCGCAGCCTGCAGGGAACCGAGGAGTCTCCTTATAAGGCTTTTTTCTCCTTTCCTCCTCCCTTCCCTCTTTTCTTTGTGTGATGGAAACTGAGTGGTTCCACTGCATTTTGGGTCTTTCTCTACTGGTGAAGGCCAGGAAAGTTTGTCCTTAAAACTCTAAGAACTTCTGCAGTGGCTTTTCTGATTGCTAACAACTCTTTGAAGAAAGACTGTTTTGTAGACAACATGGTATTTCAGTGGCTATCAACTTTTTCTTCTCTAGTTGGCAAAAACCACAACAGCAGTTATTCTATTATTTTCTCAGTTTGTGACATTGAAAACAATTTTCATTAGTGTGAAAAGAGGCTGACAAGCTGGAAAAAAAATGTTCTCATTTTTTGCTGGTGTACCTTGATCTCGGTACAAAATGCTGGCCCATAATCCCGGTCAAGATTGCTTTAAGTTTTATACTGACACTGTTCCATTGCTTCCAGGGAAGTAACTTTTAATGCCTGTCTAATAGCATTTAATAATTATTTAAGTCCATCCTTATTAAATTTATCTGACCTTGTATTAAATGCCTTCCTAGAAAATTAAAACTAGATCAGATTTGAATAGCTTCCAGTGAGAAGAGTATGGTTGATTATATTTGATCATTCCTATTTTCCTCATATGGATATGGCATTTTTTATGTAGTATTTATGTATTATTTATGGACATTAGACATGGAAAGAAAACAGGGTTCTTGTACTAATCGTGAACCTTAGCAAAGAATTCCACACACCAAAAAAATACCTGCTAGCATAGAATACCTCTGCTTCCAGGGGCCAAGTGGGAGAACTCAGCTGCAGGGATGAAAAATTCCAGGTATCTCAATTAGCAGATAATTTAGAAACAAACCTTAGTCTAGCTGCCTTCACTTTACTTGACTGGAGAGAAAGCCTTGTTCTACACATTAACTGCATACACTTACCTGCTGCCTTCCTGAGGGATGCACTGCTCAACATCCACCGAAAGAGAGGCCATAGCAGATACTGTTTCTGTCTCCTCCCTCTCTCGTTTCTGAGACTCAGCCAGAGCACAATCCACTGGCACGGAGTATGGCTCCACTGACTTCCAGTACTTGCCTAAGGAAAACACACATAATAATTTATGGGAATTTTAGCTAGCATGGTGGTACAAGCATAGTAATCGCTTAGTTCAATACCGAGTGATTATAATCTAAAATCACTGCGGTGTAAGCAGTACAGCTGAAATTTCAGACTGCAGTGAAGAGGTACATTTCTGAACCTAAGAGTGCCAAGTTGGAAAGTGCTTTCATTCCAAGGGCTGCGTCACACCCTTCCCCAGAAGGGAATAAACTGGAGGAGTAGTAACACGCAGACTAATGAACACATACTGTCGGACAGGCTATTGGCTTTATCTGCGCAAGGTGAAGGGAGTTCAGGGCAGGGTTAATACCTAGAAGCTCTGATATGGCAGGCAGTTGATGCATATAAAGCAAACAGGACTGGAAAAATGAACATTGTTGCACAAAGTGCTCACACAGCACTGTCTTGAAAAGGAAAAAAGTCAGAAATGCCAGCTCGGACTGAAGCGATGTTGCCAGAACAATCAGGTTTGTTAGTCCTGGATGTTCTTTCTCCTCCAACCTCAGGGCGTATACTAGAACAATGATTTATTTAAAACTTTCATATATGAACTGGCTGTTGCTGGAAAGACGCCAGGTATCATAAGGAATAGAGCTTTCTGCTTTGCTGTGTAAGAAAACAGCAGTGGATTAAAAGCGTGAGTATTCTCAGTTTTCTGCCTGCAGCAGAAGAGATGGTAAGAGGCTTCTCAGACAACACAGGGGACAATGACAGGTGACTCACTGACAACATAGGAAATGGTTAGTCAGTGGTAACCAGGTGAACAAGTAAGAATTTACATATGTATTTCTTACAGTCCAGTAATCCATCAAGCACTCACTAATTGCCAGGTGGATGACACCTGGAAATTAGGAGCTTTGGGAAGGCTGAGGGCTCTGGAGGGGAGCTTACTCACTGTTTAGAAAGCTTCCAGCAGCTGCTGCAGAGGTTGGGTCAGGGTACTTATCTGGGAATTAGGCAGAGGGTTTCAACAGCTGTGAACGAGAGGGGATCAAGTAGGGGACTTTTCCAAGGGCTAAAAGGAGGGTTTTGGCAGCTGGGCAGCGGGCTGAGTCGAGGTGCTTATCCGGAGGGTAGCTGGAGGCTTTGACAGCTGGGAGGCCAGGCCAGTGGCACTGCTGCCTGCGCTGCACAAAGGCGGCTGGAAACTCCCTCTCTGGTAACACAGCTCTCAACACAGTTTCAGGCTTTTCGAGAGATGAACTTTTCCCTCCAGTGAGAAAGCAGCTGTCAATAAAGCCTGAAAATGTCTTTATTCAAAAACATCACTGCAAGATAAAAGCCCAAGTCAATCTGCGAGAACAAGCAGTGAGCATGGCCAGCGTGTTTCTTTGAAGTCTAATGGTGTGCACGTTTGAGTAGTTAGCAGAATCTCTACATAACGGGGACCTTCTGGGGATAAAACGTAAAGTGTATTAAGTATCCTACAAAGTTGAGATTAAGTGTTAGGAGGCTGGCTTTGCTCCAAAAGCATGAAAGACACAGCTAAAAAGCTATGTACATAACAGTAGGCTCAATGATTGGAGCCTGGCGAATTTTATAAAAACAAGACAAAAATATTATTATTGTGCTCAGAGACCATATTCTCTATTCATTAAAAAATACACTAAAAACAAACTAAAAAAAAAGTTATATGAGCATTCCACAATGTTCTCACAGATCATATGTGCAAAAGTCAGTCTTTGCAATATACACCCAATTCAAACCCTTATAATTTATGAGCTAAATGTTTGCAGAGTAGGTGGGGTTTTTGTTGCAGAAACAGATGTGCAAGAAAATCAAATCTGTTGGCATGGGAATAATACCCCCTCTTGCCTATAAAAGAAATGAACCCATGTTCACTGCTGGAGTTTTCAAGGGCTCTTATTCATAAAATAAAATATTAGTACCCAGCTACCACTGTGTTGCTCTCCTGCAGCAACAATAAAACAGCATCAGTGAGGGTTACTGCATCGCGTTTGTTCATTCACACACAGGCTGCCCCCTGAATGCGACTTTCTTGTAACACTAAAACTCAGGGCCAACCCAAGCATAGTAGTGGGCTCTCTGTGCCCATTCAACTGCCCCTCACTCCCAAGCGATCCCCGATTTTCCTTGTTTCCCTGAACTGAGGACTGCTTTATGAGAGGGGCTTCAGTGAGAAGGAGGGAGAGCAGAGTCAGGCGAGGAAGCAGGTGGCAGCACCTACGGGAGGGTTTTGGGGAAGGGGAGTGCATGGCAGGGTGTTTGTGGGAGGAAATTTTAAAGCAGTCCCAGTTAGGAATAGCATCTAGGTAGCAGCAGGCACTTCATGCAAAAAGGGCTTTCTGTTGCTTGTGGAAAAGCAGTGGTAGTTTTTTCTTTCAAATCAAAAAGCTGTACCTTACAGACACAGGTGGTAAGCAGAACAGCTTTGCAAGATTCTTTACAAAAAGAATAACGTTTATACGTCATGCACAAAACACACGGGGCTTGCATGTGTGTGCTGAACCAAAAGATTTGCAGGTAAAGTCTTGCGGAACAGAGAGGCAATCACAGCACGCAGCTGCGAAGGAGCTTTGTTAGAAACCCTAGGTATGCTGAGGATTGACAATTAAATGAGCTCAAAAAAGCATCTGCCTCAAACTGCTCACATCTCTGAAAATGCCATTTCTACTGTGCTATATCGGAATGTGAAATTCTACCGGCCCTGTTACATTCATTGAGAAGAACTTGGTGAAGCTCAGGGGAAAGAATGAAGCATACTGCTGGTTTCATTCATACAAAACTTGAAGAGCAATCACGGCTTGCAAGAACAAACAATGAAACCAAATCAGTCTTCTAGGTATGCTTTGGCTTTCAGCATGAAAATATGCTTAAGTCTCCCTCAAAGATTTGTGGGAGCACTGGTTATTACCAGGAAATACTAAAAGTGAATGTTTCTGTCACTGTTACAGGCATTTGCAATTGCCTTTCACAAATAGATTTGGACATGCTGTACTATAGCATGCTTGAAAAAAAAAATAATTTGGGGGTGGTATTCAAGCTAGTGAACAGGATTGTTTAGAAATAGCATATTACATGGGTGTGGGAACTGCTACTTCCAAATGTATTACATTTCCAAAGGAGCTTTGGATCACTGTCACAAACAAAACATTTATACAAATTCCATTCTAGTTAGAAAAAAGTTGGTTCCTTTCGTTGTCTAAGTAAGTATTGTATCTTCTTTTCTTTTTTTTCAGCAGACATAGAAGAGGGACCTTTTTCTCCCTAAAATATTGCTAATATTCATTATCAAAGTTGAATCACAGAAGTGCAGACTTAATATACGTGCAATTCTGCTCTAACTTGTTGGTTTCTTCCAGATCATTAACAAGGAATCTTAAGGAATACTTACTCATGATCTACTCTAGGACATACCACCGAGCAGAAATTACTTACTGAATTTATCTTATACAGACGATTTACTTAGAGTATTTGCATTATCTGGGTGACTACTGGGTATGAAGAATGAATTATATACCCACAACAAATTTTAATTGTCACTTTACAACTAAAATAATGATCAATGGATCATACGTGGTGTCCCTTTTAAAAATCGCACTTATTTTATATTATTTGTGATGATATATTAGTTGCTCCATCTAACATGAAGCAAAACATTTGTTATTCATTTGTTACTGTTAAGGAGCCAGCAAACAGTAGAAGTCAGGAAGCTCCCACTGCCTCAGTAAAATGGCAGAGGAGAAGATGAGAAAATTTAAGCGAAGTCTGCTCAGTTGGATTAAGGCAACTGATGTCAAAGAGAAAATTTCTCAGTGAGACCACAGCAAATGCTCTACAGCATCTGGATAGTAAAGGGTTGAGGTCAGGCCACACAAGTGAAGTAATCAAGTACCCTCTTCACCAGAAACAGAATAAAATCATGTGTTGGCTAGCATGGTTCCATGGACGAGTGCCCATTTTGAGCTTTTTAACTTTATCTCAAGCTCCTATACATCTTGAACTGAGCAACTGGTAAAGAGCTGCACAAACAGAACATGAAGAAACTATTTGTTAGAGCTCTAATTTACCCGTCTGATCCTGTCCCTCACTAACACACACCTATTTCAGCCAAGCTGCTCTGGAATGGAGAAATTTAAGAATACGCAGGAATCAGAAAGCTCTAAATAATTTAAATGGGTTAATTTGGTTTTTCAGGGCTAAATACAGTAGAAATAAAGTGATATCAAATAAACAAAATTAAAAGCAAATATATATATATGACACAGCATGTTAGTTTATACATGTAACATCTGCCTGCTTTTTTTCTCTAAAACAATAGTTTAATATCTATCATGTTAATTAACAACAAAAAAATGCCCCAAACCCACCAACTCACCAACCCAAACTGGGAAACATACTTTGAATTTCAGTGGTCTTTTTTAAAGAAGCTATTGCATTCATATTGGGGATTTGGTGTACAATATCTTCCGGGAGAGGCTCCAGCTGCAAGAATAGAATAGAATAATATAAATTTTCAATAAGCCACAGGGAAGTAAAACAAACTGAAACAATCTAATCCTCAGGAAAAGCTCAGCCCAAGAACTGGTTAACATTTCGCTGGTATCAGTTCTGAAAGTATAGCCGTGATTTTGTTTTCTGTTTTCCAGCATGTAATTGAATTCCAAGGGGCTTTTCTATTGGCTGCAAGACTAATCTATGGAGTCTCTGAAGCAGGTGCATGTCTGTGTATTATTCATTAAAAAAATGCTAGTTATTTGTGTAATTTTTGTAGGTTCCTCACAAACCGAATTCCACTGCGTCTGTATACGCAGCTGGGCACTCCAAACAAAACCTTGCTGAAGCCACACTGGAACCGAAGTGTGCACTCCATTATTTTTATTTTTTCTGGTGTTATTACATCTAACCATCTTACACATTTTAAGATTTATTGGGGGAAACCATAAAATACAGCTGCTTTTATTAGCTTTGCATTAATTTCAAATAAAGTAGTAGATAAAAAATGGTTATGAAGATCAGCAGTAAGAGTGCTCCGGTTAAGTTTTTTATAGAGTCAGCTGCATTTTAATTAGTCAAGTTTAACCATATTCTTTGAATAGGCCTGCATCACAGTAAATTAGCAGAAGGAAGTGGTCAGTTACTGCACTGTTATTTTTTGCCCTGCAACAGACAGATATACCAGGCAAATTGTGTTTTGCAACTCGTCCACATGTGCTTTTTTGTCCACCTTCCATATATTGTCTCCTAGAAAAAGGGTGGAAGATTATTTGGGCTCAAATGCCTCTTCTCGTACTGTAATAACTATGTTGTTTTTGAACTACGCTTATATTTCAGCCAGTTTTTCCACTTCCCTGCATAGCCTGGTGAGGCTGGGCATGGAGCTGTGCTTCCTGCAGAGCCAGGAGTAGAAACCACGTCAAGGTGGACATGGAAAAGGGGTATCAATACCGATCTCTCCTCTCTAAAGCTAAGGAAGTTCAACTGCCATTGACAGGAGACATCTGTACTGCAGACAAAACTCCTTTCTTAAGCATGCCTGGGTCTGCTTTAAACTAGGTCAAGTGAAGCCCACCCAAGGAGCTTCCTCTGTGAAGTTAATAGTTCAGTAGCCACCATAGATCGTCTTCCTGGTTGCTACCACTGCATTCCTACCCACCAACTAGATAAAACCAGTTTTGATCCAAGTACATAAAGTGGGAAGCAACTGCAGTGTAGATGCTCCCTTAGTGCTATTTTAAGCAAGCTCAGCTACAAATCCCAGAACTTCTGCGATCCTACCATTATGATCAGCAGTGAACGCCTGTCAGCCATAAAGACATTGCAAATATCACCAGTCTTTTGGAGTCCTGGCAACTAAAATGAATAGGGCTGTTCATGTCATTATTTCCTTAGAATACCACATGGGATTGCAGCTGGGAGATTTCCTTGTGGCTAGAAACAATAGCACTATGTTTTGTTTTCAAATAGCATAAATCACTCCATTCTGCCCAGTGAGCAAGTGTGCAGAGAAGTGCTGGTAGGATCTGACTGGGTCCCAACTCTTCTTGGTTACTGAGGAGACCAAACTGCAAAGGAAGGTTGTTGCTATCTAATATTAGCACAGATTAGAATAAAGAGAACAATTAGAATGAAAATAGTGTTTACAGATACATTGGCAATTCTTAAACCACACTTCAGGATCTTCATAGGTTACTATATTTGGTAATTCTTGCAGGTACCTGGGGGAAAACTGCATTTTTACAAAAATACCCACCAACAGATCAGGCTTAACAGATTTTAGAACAATAATCCATATAATAATCTTAATAATCCATAACTCATTATTTTCTGTTTAAATAATCTATTGTTTGTCCAGGAAGAGGACAAAGTAATATGTTCAGGAACACAGAAGGGGAAGCAAACAGTAGCTTAAGTGTTGATAATTTCCTAATTACTAAGGCTTTTTCCAATTTACTCCCCTAGAGGACAAAATGGCTCCAGGCTGTAACACTACGAATAATGGTACAAGGTACAGAACTGTCAGACTGCAAGATATGGGAGCTGTGACTTTTCTTGTCCTCTGAATACCTTGAGATTCCTTCGGCAGACCTCTTGTACATTATTAAGCTGTGGGCAACTAATGCAGAGATAGCTAGAGGAGATTTACTATTAAAAGGTGAATATTCTGTGTCCTTCTTCAGAGCTGGATTTTTATAGAAAAAAAAAATCTTGATTTTTTCCTAATACATCAATGACACCTCTTTATTTATCAATACAGAAATAATTTTTTTTTTAACAAGTAGGCTGCATTTGTACATCTAGACATATCAGATGAATACTTAGAAATGGCAGGTGTGTCTTTACAAATCAGGATAAGATGATGAATCTTTAAGGAAAAGACAAAAAAGGGTCAACTATCTGGCAATTATCCCAATCACTACTCCATCTGGTAGCTCTACTGACAGACCTGTAGGTGATGTATAATAGGCACATCTGATAATTTCCTTAACTCTTCTTTCCACAACACATTAATTTTGTATCCCAAGCTTGGCTTCTGTTCTTGGACCTACTCTTTCTCCTCACCCTTAAGGATAACCAGACAGACCTTGGATCCTCTTCCATACCAGGGAAACCTCTTCAGGCTCAATCAGTAAATTCATTACATCGTATACCCTGCTCAGCCCAAAGCGCAGTACCGTTACAAAACCACTGTAGAAATAAAGCCAGTGGGTTATGGCAGCTATTTCTATACACTTTGAAATGAGACTGTCTGCATTTGAAAGAATGATTTCTGTTGGCAGCTATCCACTGGTTGGATACAACTGTACAGACATTGGGGTGTCCCTGGAAAATATCAACAGCTAGACCTAACAGTGAACAAAAGAAATTTCTCTACACCTGGCATATATGGCACCATCACCTTCCCTCCTACACTTACTGGCATTCAAATCATGAAGCCTATTAAATCTGGAGGCTAACAGAAAGGAAGCTGAAAAGTGCACTGGAAATACACTGTTAGGAAAGAAATCTTTCAGAGAAGAACAGCTCAAGTCTGCAGAAATAACCAAACCACTAGAGAGACAGTTTGGACTAGACACAAAGGGTCACATTTTTAAAACTTTTACATGGTTGAATTGGGCTTTTGTGCCTGAAGTAGCAGATGAAAGTAGAAACTGTCCACTAATCATTTTCAAAGTAGGAAAAACCGAAGTAGCAGATGAAAGTAGAAACTGTGTCCACTAATCATTTTCAAAGTAGGAAAAACAATGTAAATGGGTAAAAATCACTTTGGCTGCCAAAGTCTGCCAAAGACATACCAACAAATGTTTGAAGAAGGAATTAATGATGGAAATTTCATGTGCCCAGAAAGTGATCTGAATTGATCTTTGGGAATGTGGAGAGAATCTGAAACTACAGCAGTCTGCACGGAGTTGGAAAGACTAGTAATATCTGCATTGTCCTTGGCACTGTCATGTTTGAAGCACCAAGATTAGCTTCAGTGAAGACTGTTGAGGAGTGTAGCTAGAGATAACCGACAAGTGAGGCCATTGCAAGCATAAGGTAAGGAGCATAGAGAGTCCTGACAGAAGCAGAGGAACGGGAGAAGGTAGGCAGTCTTTTCAAAGCTGCATAGGCTTCAGGGGAAGCATTACAACATCCCTTTCCTGGATAAACTGTGCAAGAAGTCTATTAGCACTAAGACTGGGCTTTGTTGCTTTTTGGGTTGCCTATGCTTATAAAGAGTTAAGGTCAAAAATCTCGCTGTTCTTATATTAACAATCCTCTCAAAAAGTTCTGCACTTTATATATAAAGCACTTCAGGCAGATATCTTTGTGATTCACTGCCACAATGTGGGACATAAATGAGTCAGTTTTCGGTAGGGATTAGGTTCAAAGGCACAAAGGGTCATTAGCACCCACTAGTCCCTGAAAACCAAAGGGAAGCTTTGGAATTATGTAACTTTGGAATCAGAATATTCTCTGTTTCCTTTGTCAAGCCACTTTCTGAGTAGCGTTGCCCACTTTGGGGTCTTCGATGTCATCATGCTGACCTCTGGCACATACATTTCGTCAGTTTCTTACTTCATCTAATTATTTCTGGAATCTGGGTTTATGCAAGCAGCAGTTGACAGGTGGCTTAGACTCTGTTAATTATTTGCTAATATTAGATTCAGATTAACAATGAAAATGTGAGATTGTGACCAAGTTTACCATGCAATTTAAGATTGATCTCAGGCCATATTCACTTCCATGAATAATTCCATTTTGGAGAAAGCAATGCTTACCTGTTCTGGTAAATAACCCCTTTTAACACAGTCCAGGCCCTCTTGGCAGAGCTCACTGCCTTGCTGGCAAGCAGCCCCAGATTCACACTGAATTCCACAAAGGAGAAAGTGCCAACTTTTCATCATCA